TCTTTGTGAACAGCCACGTGGGACAGCTATGGTGGCAATCACATACCTACTTGCCAAGGCCTTGCTGGCCCTACCTGGGAAGGGGCCTGGGAAGAGAGAGCCAGGAAGGAGGAGGACTCCCCTAGGACTTCCTGTCTGACTCACAGGGTGAGTCTGGGGTAGGGTGTGTGCAAGCTCTGAGTCAAATATTAGTTTGGTGGTGGTAGACCCTCTGGGTACAGTAAGGTTAAGCACGGGGTCTTGCAGAAGGTTAGTCATACTTTCCTGGAGGTCAGAGTGAGAGCTCCACCTGGGGCCTTAGTATGTAATGTTAGAACTTTATTCGTGGGGTTGTTGTGTGTGTATGAGCGAGAGAGGTATCAAGATCTGAGAATGACATGTTATCTGTATGTGAGAGTTGTGTGTTCTGGTCAGCATGTGCCCATCATCTGTGTAAGTGGGCTTTGGGATTATCCCTGTATGGAAGGTGTGGGTTTTTAGGGGCAGAGTGATACATTTGTGAATGTGTCTCTGTGGGATGTGTGGATCACATGTGTGCATGTAGGGGATGGTGTCCAGAGTGTATGTGGTGTCTGTATATAGAAGGGTGTCAACACACAATGTGTGTGTATATGAGAAGAGTGTTCCTGTATGTGGACAGGGGAATGTGTATGTGTAATGCACACACATACACACAGAGAGACATAGAGAATGGAAGGGTGTCATGTATGTAGATGAGAAAAGTGTGTGGTGTGGACTGTCCAGGATAGGTATTTTGGTATATGCTCTATGTGTGTCTCTCTGGTGTGTATGAATGAATGAACGTGTGTGTGTACTAGGAGTTCATGTGGGTGGGTGGAGGTATTGTGTGTGTGAGTTTTTGTGTGAGTGGGAGGGTGATGGTATGTGTGCATGTGTATGCCTGGAGTGTGTGTGTGTGGGGGGGGGGTGGAAGCTGGGCAGCCTGGGCAGGGGCCGCCCCGGAGGGGGAGGCGTCTGTCCTGCGCTACTCGCTACTCGCAGGCGTGTCCTCGCCTGGGCTCCTTCAGCCGGGAGGCGCGGGAGGCGTGGAGCCGCTCCAGCCGTCCTGCCGCCCTCCGCGCGGGCCGTCCGTCCCCTCGGGGCCCCTGGGCCCCGGGCCCGCGGCTCCGGGGGGAGGGTGGGGTTCCTCGGGGCCCGCCTGCCGCCCGGGGTGCCAAGGACGCCTCCCGCTGGACTCCGAGGAGTGGCCGCGGGTCCCCGCGCGGCTCGCATCACTCCAGAAGCCGGGTCCACGGAGCTCTGGGCCCGGGGCAGGGGCAGTGGCCGGACCCGGGGACCCCCGCCGACTGCGACGCTCGTGGGCAGCGCTGTGTGGCGCGTGGAGCGCGCGGGGGTCGGGGGCTGGCGCTGGGAGCGCGCTGTCGGCGTGGACTGCAGCGCCCCGGAGCCGCGCTGCCTGTGGCTGCCGTACCTTGGCCACAGCGACCGCCGCGAGCCACGGCCGGGCCGGCCCAGGGTGAGCGCCGCCGCTGGGCTGGCGGGGCGGGCAGCAGGCTCGGGCGGCTTTGGCAGGGAGTGGGTGAGTGAGTCCATGTCACCAACTCCTGGCTTTCTTGAACTGTATGCTGTATGTGTCTGGATTTCCAGAACTTATGTTTTTGGAGTGGGAAATGAGAGAGTGAGGAACTTGAAAGATGGAGAAGGGTGGCAGGCTTGGTGACTTGGAGCTCTTTCAGGGGTGCTGGATGGCAGTCCCCAGCCTGGAGTCTACAGTTGTGACCTCCAGTGGGCTGTAAACCCTCCTGGTTTACAAACAGCTGTTTGCAGAGATCATAAACGAATCCTAGAGAGTTTGGGCTGCCTCATCCCTGACTCAGGGTCAGGCAGGGGTACCTCAAAGTGGCACAGTGGACACGACCTTGCCAGACCTGTAGTCAGGGACCTGGGCATAGAGTCACAAAAGAGTTTTCGAATGGGAGAAGGAGGCTCAGGAGGGCTGGGGGGCGGGGGCTGTATTTCTGATGTCCGGGATCTACGGGGCTGGTAGGGCGTGAGTCACAGTGGGCAGTACGCCCAGCATGAACGTTGTGCTCCCTGCAATGACCTCTTTGAGCTCCTGGGGAGGGGGAGGAGCTGAACGACTGGGTTCTGGTTCCTGGTGTTGCCAGTCTATTTCTGCCCAATTTGCAGTCCTGGGGCTGACTGACTACCTATCTCCCACCATCAGCTGGTTTTCCTGGATGTCTCTTTTTTCCCTAGCATGAGGGTGGAAGTGGTTGGAAATAGGCCCGGGCCAGGAAGGCTTTAATCAGTAATGTCCTTCTGTGCCTCTGACCCCCTCTCTTCATCACCTTGGCCTGGTGCCTACTGCTGAGAGGCCAAGTTGAGGGTTTATATGAGCTGTACTCCCCTCCTCCCAATCTAATAATCTTTCTAGGTTTATTATTTAGTTTGTTTGTTGTTTTTGCTAAGTCCCTATCCATTCTGCATGTACTACTTCCCTTCCCCTCAATATAAAAGCAAGATTTAGTTGTCCTAGGTCAGAGAAGAGGAGAGAAAACATGCATGCATAATAGCAAGAAGGATTAAAGTTAAACCTAAGGAAGAACTTCCTGCACAGGAGATGCCAGATCTGTTACTGGGAGCTGTAGTATCTCCTCTTTAGGCAGGGGGATTATCACACTGACATTCCTAGGAGCCTAGTAGGAAAGGAATATGGGGTGAGTGGGGGGGGACACACATGGCTGGGAAGAGAAAGGGAGATTGGGAGGAAGGAAAAGAGAGAGAGGCAGATCTAGGAGAGGGGGGCACCAGTAAGGCCTGAATGAGAGAAAGGCATGCCTGCTGCCCTGGATTAAAGGCAGGGCCCCCCAGGGAGTGGCACCCCCAGGCAGCTGGCAACTCCATGCAGGATGTGTGCTAGGGGAGGGTTGGGGGGACATGTGGGGACCTGTCCCAGCCACTTCTCATCACTGGGGCAGCTGGTGGCTTAAACCTTAATCCAGGACACAAGCAAGACAATGGGCCCTGCAAACAGCCTCGGCTGTGGGCCCAGGTCTGGCCCTGGCAGGGGTGAGGAGGCAGGCAGCCCACATGGGGGAAGAACAGGGGCTCAGATGGGACAGAGCAGAGGTGGATCCCCTGAGGCCCTCTTCTTTCCCTGCTCAGTTCCTTGCCAGGTCAGCAGAGGTAGGAAATCCAGGGGATTTCAGACCTCAGCAGAATTCCCTGAGAATGTTATTTTCTGGACTACCAGGACCCTTATGTGGGTGTAGGGCTCAGGGAAGAGGCCAGGCTACAGCTATAGTTGTAGGCGCTGAGGAGCCAGCAATGGACCTCCTCCCCAATGTCAGAGTCCTTACTAATGTCTCATTTCATGGACTGGTGGTTGTCTAGCTTTTGCTTGAATCCTCCTGGGGGCAGGAAGCTCATAACTTTACCTTCTCCTGGTAGTTTTCTCTAGTGTATGATTAGACTAGTCTCCCTTGCCTGATGCCTCTCAGCCCCTTTCTTATCTTCTTCTATCTGGCTCTGCCCTCTGGGACTATATGAAGCAAGCCTATGGCCTCTGTCACATTTTTCTTTAATTCTTTGTAATTTGAGAACATACCCCCTTTTCCCAGCCTGCTCCATTGACAGAAGTGTCCCACCTCATGCAAAAATCCCTAGCATGGTGCTGTTCATGGGCCAGCTCCCCCTGATCTCTGCACAGAAGATGGAGGTACATGAATGAACTTCTGAGTTCTTCATGACTATGAGAAGAACTTAACAGTGAAGTGGGAGACCCTTATCTCGGAATTAGTGGCTTCTCTCTGCACCAGCAGCCCCTCTTTTCTTTCTGATGAAGGCATCTTTCTGGTGTTCCAATGGAGAGTAAGGTGGCTGAGAACTCTGGATGGAGGCCTTGGGTTGGAGACAGTGGCTAGGCTGGCCTTTCTGGTGTTGGGGGTACAGAGCCGTGAGGGAGGCTTCCTGCCTTTTCACTAGGTACTCCCCCCTTGGCTCCTGTCTTCTCTAGTCTGTCTCCTGGGCACACAGCTCTCTGCCACCTTCCTGTCACCTGCTCTCCTTCTGTGTTTGAGAAGAGAACCCCAAAGAAACCTGTCCACCTTTCCCATCCTCAAAACAGACCTGCATACCCCAACCCCCTTGTCTTTAGACATCCTCTGCCATATTGTCTTGGGGAATGACAAGTATCCCAGCATGTCATTTAGAGGGCAGAGTGTCCCCCCTTAGACAGGCTGCTCTGCTCTGATGAGCCAGTCAGACCTCTGGGCTGAGTCCCGAGCCTGGAAGTCCCTTCTGTTGTCTGATGCTTGCTCCACGCCCTTTCTGTTTATTCTCATATGTGTTCTTGCTGCTGCTGCTGCTGCTATTGCAGAATTCCTGTGTGCACATTTGTGTGCCTGCCTGAGCGGGCATGTACATGTCTGCAGTGTGTGCTATGCATCCGTATACAGAAGAATCTGTGTGGCTGCATGTGACTGCATATGGAACTGTGCAGCGTATGTGCATACATCTGTGTCTGCGTGCACATGTGTTTGTGTCTGTGGTGTGTGTCTACATGAGTGTGTGTGACTGTGTCATTGTCTACATAGGTGGCCTGTGTGTCTGTGTGCATGTACGTAAGTGACTATGCAGCAGGCAGGAATGAGTGCAGACAGCAGCAGGCACTCCCCAGGCAGGGGTCTGGAGAACACCAGAGGAGTTCAGTGAATGTTTGCGGATCTGAACAAATTCCCAGCTCACTGCAGCAAGTTACTTCCCCAGAAGCAAAGACATCATGGACAAACTAAGAGGGAGGGAAAGTAGGCAAGAGCTCTCCTTCAGCTGACAGATGTGGATGGGAAGGAGGAAGTAAGGAGAAGTTAGTGTTGAGGAGGAAGTCAGGGCAGGTAGGGTAGCCTGACACCTCTAGGGTCTGTGAATCTCTCCTGGTACCCATTACATCCTCTGACCTGCAGAGATTGGGCGAGTGTGCAGTGCTGGTGGGCGCAGGCCACACTGCCGCTCAGCCTTGTCTCCCTGTGCTCCCACAGCTGCCACTGGGCCCAAGAGATGGGTGCTCTGCTGGGCGCCCCCTCCCCTGGCAGGGGCCACGCACGCTGTTGCTACGCAAGAGTCTCCAGGATGGCTTCGGCTTCACCCTGCGCCACTTCATCGTGTATCCACCCGAGTCAGCTGTGCACTGCAGCCTGAAGGTATGCCTGGCACACTCACTGCCCCTGCTGGCCAGGGATGCTTTCACAAGCTACAGGGAGATTTTCCCAGCACTTCTCTCTTCCATGGTCCTTTCGATTCTCCCTTTTCTCAAAACAATCTTTCCTGAGATCCAGTCAGACCCCCTTCTGCTGTGGCTCAAGGCAGAGGGTCACAGGGAGGCAGCTTTGGCTGGTCACTTGCACCTTGTGATCATTATGATTGGGTTGTTTGCATTGTCTGAATGAGCTCTCTAACCTCTCTGGACATAGTCTTCTCAGGAGAAATGGTGGCTGGTTCAGAACAAGGGCCCTAGAAGTAAGGGAGTCAAGAAGCATGGCCTCTCTAGGGACACTGACCATCTCAGACCAAATGAAGTTCCTGGAACCCTTGTCCACTGACCTCTTCTCACCTTTCCTTTGCCTGAGCTTTTGGAAATTCACTTCTGAGATTCCTCTCAGAGCACTCAGGCCTTTGCTAGGTTTATGTGCTAAGAGGAGCCCTGGGCTGGGATGGAGGAGACCTGAGTTCTAGTCCTGGTACAACTCCTAACTTCCTGTGGCTCTTGTAGTAGTCTTATCCGTTTCTGGGCTCCATGTCTCTTGTAACCTGAGGCCATATAGTTACTTGAAGCCCTGCACCAACCCTAATATAAATGTCAAGTTCTCTGAGACCAGGGACCAGGGACCTCAGCCTAAATTACGGGTGTGGGATACAGGGTAGTATCCCTCACAGTAGAGCAGGAGTGAAGGAAAACAGGAAAAGATCTGGGCAGGAACCTGGGCTCCCTCTGGGCCCTGCACCTTTCTTCTCCCCATCTCCTAGCAAGGGACGAGACAGGTTTATTTTGGAGTCAATGAGCTCCACTCTCTCCTCCCCCAGAGTTAGGATCAGCCTGAACAGCTGTTGGGGGACTCTCCCTTGGGGACTTTGGTTCCACTTACTGAAGAGCCATGGCATGAAATTTCACTGTCTGTGTCTGTGTGTGCTTGCATGTCTCTCTTTGTGTGCACGTGTGCACATGTGGTATGCTGGCCATGTACATGCATGTGTCTATATACATGCATGTGTCTGGATATGTACCTTTAACTGCGCATTTGCAGGCGTGTGCACAGAATGATGCCACTCTCCATGTCTGAGTCTGACTGTGTCTCAATAACTGCTGTCATTGGTTGCAGCTGTGCTTATTTATCATAAAGGGGGGGGGGTTCATGATATGGAGCTACTGCCCCTACCCTGATGCCTAAGGACCCAAGTTGCCTAATTCCCTAAGCCCTCATTCCATCCTTCCCTCTGTCTCCAGAATGCTCTCCCCTTCTTGGCCCCTCTCAGAGGACCCTATTGAGGGGTGGCAATAACAGAAGCAGCCTGTAGTGAGTGGTACAGGCTACATGGTGGACCTGTCTCGAAGAGAACTTACTTACACCGAGGTCTGGAAGACCCCAGGTCAGCCGGGGACAGTCTCTGTCTCCTTCTCAGAACCTGTCTTTGGCTTGGAAAGGCTGGAGCCTGGAGGCAGGGGGAAGCTTGCTCTCCACTCCTCCTTGCTGCCTGCCTGGAGCCTGCAGGGGCTCAGCCACTCAGCCGTCTAAATGCATCCGTCTGCCTCTGCCACCCGCTCACTGGGCTGTCAACTCACATCAGCAAACATGCACCCCACAGAGGTCCTTTTCTCCAGCAGCACCCAGCAAGCAGCCCTCCTGTGACCCACCCTGTCCTGGCTGGAGTGCCAGAGTCCTGGATTCTAGCCTGGCTCTGCGACCAAATCCCAGAGTGGTCTTGGATAGTCACACCCTGTCTCTGTAAAATAGATGAATCCACAGAGGAAGTAGATGAGTTGATGACAAAGGTCCCCTCCAGTTCTAAAACGCCACACCAGCTTGTCCTGTCTCTCTGACCCTCTCTTCTCCCTCATCCCTAATTCCTCCCTAAATCTGATGTCCTTCGTCCTCACTACCAGGAAGATCCCAGTGGTCTCCCAGTAGATTCTCCACTCCATTTTGATGTCTGCATCTAGCTGCCAGAATCTCTTTCCCTAATGCTCGTTTCCCACTCCACACCCTCCTCAAGAACCTTCACTGGCTCCCTCTTTCCTTTCAATCCTGAATGCTTTAATCTGACTTTTGACAATCTCTTCTGTCCCTTGCTGCTAGTTACTTTCTTTAGCTTAGCTGATCCATAAAAACAACAACAAAAACGCAATATTGCCTTGAATCAGTTGTGACTTATAGCAAACCTATAGGGCAGAGTAGGGTTTCCAAGGCTGGAGGGTCAGCAAAGGAGAGGAAGACCCCTAATGAGATGGATTGGCATGGTGATTTCAGCAGTGAGCTCTCTAGAGTGTCAGAGGTGGTGAGAATGGCACATGATAGGGCAGGGTTCTTGTCTGCTGTTCATAGGATCACTGTGAGACAGCACCTAACAACAGCAGTCTTTAGAGAATCAGACTGCCACTTTCTCCCATAGAGCAGCTGGTGGGTTCAAAGAGCCAATTCTTCAGTTAACAGCTGCCCTCAAGTTTCTGCACGCCCCATTTTCTTACCCAGACTGCCTTTCCCTGTGGCCCTCAAGTTTGGCCTCTTATCCCCCCACCCCCACTGAGTCCTAATCAGTCCTTCCCTTCCCATTCTCTTAGAGCTGATAGCCACTGTTTGCACTTGTCATGCCTGCTTATCTGTGTCTGCCTGGGTCTTTTGTGTGGGGGCTGGGAGCTCCTCGAGGCAGGGGCCATGACCCACCCATTGAGAGCTGTAGGTGATGGTATTTGCACTGCAGGAGTGAGAGGGGAGGTCATCGTGGCCTTGTTTCTGATGTCCAGCTGTCAAACTTTCCCCACAGTTGGGCTAGTTGAAGGGAGATAAGGGGTGAGACAGCTGGGTGGCGAGAGAGAGGAGCCGCCCTAGTGTCCTAGCCCCCTGTCCCCATCTCCACCCTCTTCTTTCCATCCTCTGTGCTGCTGAGGGCTGGACTAAGAGCTCACACCCACCTTTCTGTCCCCTGCAGGAGGAAGAGAATGGAGGCCGAGGAGGAGGTAAGGAGTGTCTGGGGGGTGGGGGTGGGTGGGAGGTGTGTGTGCACCAGGGGCTGGGGCTGTGGTGGGACACATCTTCTATCTTCTCTCTTCACCTCTTCCTGGAGTAAGCCCCACCCCAGCTTCTTGGCACTAGCTCTCACCTCCTTCTTTTTTTGCTCATATCAGTCTCCCTTTGAGCCTGTCCATTCCACACCGAGTGGGGACCCTATGGAGCAGCAATGAAGGGTTCTCCCCTACAGTCCCTCCAGCCCAGACAGACCCACCAGTAGAGACATAGGCAGGGCTGCAGAATCAGGAGTGAGGTCAGGGATGAGTTGGCAACGGTATCCTTGGGATTAGAGAAAGTGGGATCTTACAGGGAGGAAGGGGACCCTGTGGTCTTTTCTTGTCAGTTGGGAACCCAACTTCCCTTGCTGTCCCAAAGGACCCCTAGGTGCATCCAGACTCCCTGAGGGTGTTCAAGGCAGAGTTCCTTGAGCACACAGTCTGCCAGCGAGGCTTCAATGGGGCAGCGGCAGGGACATGTCTTCCTGAGTCCCCTTCTCAGAGGCCATGATGGGGGAGGAACAGTCCTTTTCTCTAATACAGTCAGCCAGCAGAGCGATGATGCAGCTGAGTAGTATTGCTGGAGAGTGATGCGATGTCATCAGAGGTGTCTCTGTTCACCTCAAGGTCCTCAGGTCTCTGCTGGGAAGGGAGTGAGAGCAGTGAGCACTGGGCGTTGAGCCTGTGGGGTGTCTGGGAGTTTGGGCCTTTCTCTGGCTCACCCAGGCCTGTGAATGGACGGGCTGTCTGTATAGTGCAGCGTTATGACTTACTACTGGCCTTTTTTAAAGTCCCCCTCTCTTTTCCCACTGCTGGTTGTTTTTATAGTCCGTCTTGACAGTGAGCTCCTAAAGGACAAGGACAGTGTCTGTTCCTTTGTGTTCTGGTCTCTGGTGCAGGCCTTGTCCACAGTGAGCCCTTAAGAACTGACTCTGTGTCATGTAGCTTTTCCTTCTCCCAGCTGTGTGTCGTCTTGTCTGATGGTGTGCATCCACGAGTCTCTCGTGTCCCTACAACTGTGAGTCTGTATCTGTGATCATTCCGAGTGTGTGTCCCCTGCGTGTGCAGCTGTGCATGGATGTGACCTTCAGCTGCCACTCCCCACTAACCTGGCTGATGCTCGCTAGGACCCTCCCCGCGGCACCGCCTGGAGCCCATGGACACCATCTTTGTCAAGAATGTGAAGGGCGATGGCCCTGCCCACAGGGCTGGCCTTCGAACAGGTGAGCTGTTCCAGTTATCTGGCTCCTTGCACCTCTCTGGGTCTCTTCTTCCTACTCTTCAGTTAAGATGGGATTCTGAGGTCTGGGTGTTGAAAATACCCCTTTCCCCGCCCCTCCCCCTGCCACCCATATCCGGAAAAGGAATTCTTAGGTGGGGTCATTGATGCCCCATGCCTGCTCACATACCACCTCCCCTTGTCCTCAGGAGACCGCCTGGTGAAGGTGAATGGAGAGAGTGTCATTGGCAAGACCTACTCTCAGGTCATAGCTCTGATCCAGAATAGGTGAGCGCCCCCTGCCTCTTTCTCTGAGAATAGCCCCCAGTCCCCTGTGTCCCTGCATACTTCTTGGCCCTGGGGCTGCCCTGACAACCAGGGTTCCTGTTCTTCAGTACTGGCTGCTTCAGCCCAGCCTGACTCTCTGCCCTGTCTCCTTAGCGATGACACTCTGGAGCTTTCCATCATGCCCAAAGACGAAGACATCCTCCAGCTGGTGAGTCCAGCCCCTCTGAGGTGGGGGACCCCAGTGCCCTTCTCCTTGGACCCTCAGTCCTGCATCAGCCCTCCGTGAGGTGGAAAGGATTGATCCCGAGGAGGAGGGGGCAGCACAACGCAGCATTACCCAATCGAGGATGCCAGGCCCATCCCTGGGCTGGGGCCGGCTGTTGCTTCATTCTGGATTGTTCTGTGCCGGAAGAGGGGAGGTGCTGGTCTTGGCAGGCAGGATTCCTGCTGGGGTATCTGGAAGGAGGGTGGCCCAGCGAGCCCTGCCAGATTGGCACGTTCTCGTTGGCTCCCAGGAGAGACGCCTGCTCCTCACACCCCTTCCCTGCTGGGCTCCATGACTATGTCTCCTCTCAGTGTGCCCACCTGGCCCACCACACACAGCACACCCACTACCCCTCTGCCATGTGTTCCATTCACACAGCACACCATGCACCACCATTCAGTATACAGCAGGTAACACAGATCTGTGACAGCCTGGCATACTAGTCACATGCCATGATGTGGACAACCCCCAGCACTCCATGCAGGTTCCCACCACCACACTTCCACCCCCAGGCATCACAGTATACCACCGTATACACTAGCAGATGCCGTAACACCTGCTTATACACATCAACACATCACCGCGCAAACACCCACCAGCATCTCAGTTCCTTCCCAGCGCACTCACACACACGCCATACTACGTCACAACATGTATGCTCTGACTTCTGCCCACCTCTACAGAACACTCACTGACTTCATAAGTGCTTGCTGTTGTCACAGCACATGTATCCATGACGTCACAGCCTGTTGTGACTCAACACAGACACCTCCGCTCACAAATTGCCAGAGCTCATCATACGGTACAACCCCCCCCCACATATGCCTGCATGCAGCAAGGGCACCAATCACGGACGCTGCATCACAGTGCCCTGCATTCATGGTTTAGTGTATATTCCAAACACACCCATGCGCACACAGACACACTCCTGCTCTCTCCCCAGCCCTTCCTGACCCAAAGCCCTGGGCAGTCTTCTTTGTCCAGTGTCCAGTTTTGTGGTCTCCTGGGTTCTAGCCAGATGCCAGCTTGCTTGCCCCTGAGGTCACTGTCCCCAGGGAAGGGCCGGAGGCCAAGCCTGAGAGGCTCTGGGAGCCGCCGTGCTGGCTTCTGCCCTGGCCGAGCTCTCATAATCACTGTAATCACAGTGCCATGCTTGGCACCATGCCCCTCTGGGAACCTCCACCCCCTGACCTCAATTGTCCCTTTGCCCTTCTTGGGGAAGGGGAAGCAAGAATGGGGGGTTCAGGGAGGTGAGTGGGTCACCTCAAGTCTCAAAGACCTTGCCTATGCACCTCCTTCCAAGGCTGAGGCAAGGCAAGCTACTGGGGGAGGCAGGGGTGGGGCCTCAAGTGTCCCCACGCTCTCCTGCCAGTGGAGGTAGGGAGTGGGAAGGGCCGCAGCTTAGAACTCTGCTACCCTGGCTCTGGTGGGCAGGCAGCCCTATATGTCAGCATCTGGGGACCTCAGCTCCCCCATCCCGGCTGGCCAGAGGGTGGGGCTCAGGCATTCCTGTGGTTGGGAGCCAAGGCTGGAGGCCAATCGGGCCTCAGCAGCTGCTGACGCCACCGCCGACGCGGCGAGGCCCCTCCACACCCATCTTCCCCTCCCTCCTCCTCCCGCCCCTCCACACCCATCCTCCCCTCCCTCCTCCTCCCGACAGCCAGCCTTAAGCCGGGTGGGGGCTGCGGGGGAGCTGCAGGGAGAGCAGACTGGAGTGGTCTAAAGGCCAGGGCCGGCAAAGTGGTCAGCGGGCCTTGCGGGGGGGCGGGGAGAGCAGAGTCAGGCCAGGATGCTGCCTGGGCTGGCGCCGCCGTGATGTGATGTGGGAAGCCCAGGGAGCCGGCAGGATGGCAGGAGGGAGAGGTATGTGAGTGGCCGCCCCGTGTGTGCGCGGGTCTGAAGGGGCCGAGTGTGTGCGGGTGTGGTTAGCTTGTCCTCATCACATGATGTTTGTGCCTGGGACTGGGGGTGTAGTTATGTGTGTGTGTGTGTCTCATTGTGCTTTGCTCTGTGTGTGACAGTATTTCTGGGTGTGTATGTTACGGGGTCTCCTTGTGGTGTAGGGAGGGGGTGTGTGTTAAATTTTACCCTCTTGCCATTTGATACTTAGCCCTTAGATGCCCCACCCCACCCTAGGCAGCTCCTTCAAGGACCAGGCTGGGCGAGGGCTACAAGGCCACTGTCCCTGGGGGCCACCTCCTTTTTAGGCTGGGCCTGGGCACCAGCCCTGTCACTCCTCAGCAGTGCAGCGCCAGCTTCAGCTTCCAGTGCCAAATTCTAGGCCTAGGAATGGCAGAAGGTGGCTCAAGGCCTCTTGTCCAGGCTAGTCCCTCTTCTGAGGCTGGTTCTCCCAGCCGAGATCCATCCACCCCACCCTGGGCACATGCCTTAGCTGGCTTCCTTCTCTTCATCTGCTACCTTGACTGGTCTCTTTTGGTGTGTCCCAGCCCTGCCAGTGAGGCTGTGGACATTGATGACCATAAGACAGCAGAGAGGGAGGGCTTCAGGGGCAAAGAAGAGGGGAACCCAGGAAGCAGATGTTGGAACGTTTGCTAGCCAGTCCTTGTCATGAGTCTTAGAGATTTCTCTAAGAGCCTCATACAAGCCCGGGAGAGAGAACCCTTCTCATTCTGGAGTGTGTGTTGGGTTCTCAAAAGCCTCGTAGATCTTCTTTGTCCACCTCTGAACTCTCTGGCTTGCTCCCCTCAGCCACATGCTTATCAGGACACTCCCTCCTTGGTCCTCTTCAGTCTCCTTCCTTCTCCAGGATCCTTGACCCTCAGGGTTGCACTAGCCTTGTTCCATGGGACCTGTTCAGCCTCATTCACCTGCCTCTGTGTCCCCTTCCAGGCCTACTCCCAGGATGCCTACCTGAAGGGGAACGAGCCATATTCTGGAGAGGCCCGAAGCATCCCAGAGCCACCACCCCTTTGCTACCCACGGAAAACTTATGCCCCGCCGTCCCGGGTCTCCACCTGGGCCACTATGGTGCCTGAGCCTCTCTCAGCACTGCCCAGTGACCCCCGGAGTCCTGCTACCTGGAGTGACCCAGGCTCCCGAGTCCCATCTACTGCCTGCACCCTGCCGGACAACCCTTCCTTGGGGATGAGCCAGCCCCGCCCCAGTCCTGGTGCCTTCCCCCGCCTCCCTGCAGAGTCCCGGACTCCCCGTGCCTTCCCAGAGCCCAGCACCCGGGCACTCCCCAGCAGGCTGGAGTGCCAACAGGCATTGTCACACTGGCTGTCGAACCAGGTGCCCCGCAGGGCGGGGGAGAGACGGTGCCCAGCTATGCCACCCCGGGCCCGCAGTGCCTCCCAGGACCGACTGGAGGACATGATGACCCACCGCCCATGGCCCTGTTCCACCTCCCAGGATGCCTTGAGCCAGCTGGGCCAGGATAGCTGGCATCGAGCACGCTCGGACGACTACCTGAGCAGGGCAGCTCGTTCGGCTGAGGCACTAGGGCCAGGAGCCCTGGTGTCGCCCCACTTGGAGCGTCGTGGCTGGGCTCCCCAGTGTCCAGCTGCCCGCCCCTCTGCCTGCCCAGCCCGGAACCTATCAGGGTCTCAAGCCCCGCCCTCATCTGGGCTGCAGGGCCTGGATGACACTGGGTACATTGGATACCGGAGCTACAGCCCATCGTTCCAGCGCCGGACTGGCCTCTTGCATGCACTCTCCTTCCGGGACTCACCCTTTGGAGGACTCCCCACCTTCAACCTGGCCCAGTCGCCTGCGTCATTCCCACCAGAGGCCTCTGAACCTCCCAGGGCCACCCGACCAGAGGCCAGCGTCCGGGCCCTGGAGCCTCCAGCTGAGGAGCGCCGAGACGAGGTGATCTTGAGGCAGAAGCCTCCCACTGGCCGCAAGGTCCAGCTGCCCCCCGCAAGACAGATGAACCTTGGGTTTGGTAATGAATCCACAGAGCCAGAGGACAGTGAGCGAGGGGAGCGTCCAGGCAGAAAAGTGGCCCCGCTGGCCACTACGGAAGACTCTCTGGCTTTCATCCCCTTCATTGGTGAGTGAAGGTGCAGGTGGCTGGTTTGAGAGATGTGGTTGTCTGTGTCGTATTGTACCCACCCACCTGTCTCAGGTGAGCAGAACTCTGGGATATGGAATCATCTTGTTTGTCTGTCATCCCTCAGTCCATCTGGCTCTCCTTTCTTTTATCCTACCTCTCATTCATCTTCCCAGCCATTTTCTTCATTCTTGCTCATTTTCTTCATTCTTCCTTTCATCCGTCCATTTTTTCCTTTCATTATTCCTTCCTGCCAACTCTTTCATTCTTTTTTCATTTCATTCTTCCTTTGTTCCTTTTATTCCTTGTGTCTTACACCTACCAACAATACTGGTGGCAGGCACTGTGCTAGACTCTTACATTGTGGATGGTCTCATCAGGAAATGAGACATGCAGACAATTACAGTTTTGCAGGATGGAGTGTGATAAAAATACCAGAAACTCAAGGAGGACTTGTTGTTGTTGTTATGTCTCGGAGTCAGAGGCAACTCATAGCTGACCCTCCAGAAAGTTTTCTGAGGCTGTAAATCATACGAGAGGTTGCCCAGCTCTCTCTCGCGTAATAGGTAGTGCATTCAAAAGGCGTGCTTTTGGGTTGGCAGCTCAGCTCCTAAAAATTAAGCTACCAGAGCACCTCTCTGGGAGAACATAGGAAGGCAGATAACCTAAATTTGGGCATGGGAAGCCAAAGAGGGAATAATGGCAAAGGAACATTCAGGTTAAGACTTGACTGATAAACCAGAAGGAACAGATAAGCAAAGAGGTCATGGAGATGGGTCCCTTAGGGGCTCTTTCAGTCACTGAGGACTTTGTCCTAAGGGAACTTTTGAAGGTTTGCTTTTAGAACAGATAATTAGATCAAGGAGGGACAAAAGAGTGGAGAGGCAGGGATGATTCCCAGGTTTCTAGTCTGGCTAGAGGGTGGTGCCCCACCCTGATACTGGGAATGAGAAAGAGTGAGTCAGGAAGAACTTGGACTTCTTGAATATGAGGTGCCTGTGAAGCAGCAGAATGGGTTGAACTGAGTTTAGGGGTTTGAGTGAAAGACCAGGCTAAATAATGGGACTGGGAGCAGGAGCCAAAGAGTTGGGTGATGATAGAGCTGAGAGTGGGGAGTTCACTAGATGCAGTTTGGGGAGTGAGAGAAGAGGTTCAGGCAAGGGGGTCGACACAGCACTGGCCACCCCTAGACAGAAGCTCCTAATCTGAGGGAACTGAGGCCAAGTGGGTAAGGAGTTGCTCTGTTAACTCAAAGCCATCTGGTTTGAATCCAGAAGCTACTCCCCAGAATAAAGTCTCCTCTCATGAGGTTTATTGCCTCCGAAAATTCATTGGAGGGTGAGCTACGAGCTGATGGCAATAAGTTGAATTGAATCTGAGGGAGGAGATAGTCTTCCCTCTTAAAAGTTTCTCAATCTGAGGAAGACATAGTCCTTATACCCAGGAAGCTCCCAATCTGATGAAGGTGACACAGACAGTCCCTGCTCTCAGAAAGATCCCAATCTGATGGGGAAGACACAGTCCCAGTCTTCAGGAAGCTCCAGGTCCAATGGGAGGATATTAGTCCTGCCCTCAGGGAGCGTGGTTGAAGGTGACTCAGGCCCATGCCTGGGTGCCCCTGTGACAGGAAAGATTAGCTCTTGCTCTCAGCAGTCTTTCTCAGAGACTCCATGACCACACTCTGTTGGATTGGTCACCCTTAGCGGTGGACGTGCTGCTAGCAGGACTCGGGAGGGCTTGAGGAGTTCCAGTATGTGGTGTGGGCCTGGAGTCGAGTATGGAGCTGCGAGACAAGGCTGGCAGGCAGGCTGGCTCAGCTTCCTGCCACCTCCACCCACTGCTCCCTTCTCTCGCCCAGATGAGCCCACCAGCCCCAGCATCGACCTCCAAGCCAAGCACGTCCCTGCCTCCGCAGTGGTCTCCAGTGCCATGAATTCAGCCCCCGTCTTGGGCACTAGCCCCTCCTCTCCCACCTTCACCTTTGCTCTCGGCCGTCACTACTCCCAGGACTGCAGTGAGTCTTCCTACGCTCTAACCCCATCCGGCCCCTGCTTTCTGACCTCAGAGATTTCTGTTGGGCCTGCTGCCTGCTATCGGCAGTTTATCTGACTGGGTTCTGCTGCAGTGTCCCCTCCCCAAGGGAGAATCCTCTCCTGGCCTTGCCTAGATGGGAGGGCTCTGGGGAAGTTCCTGGCCTTCTACCTTGCTGACCCCGGGCTCCAATATGGGTGCTTTGCAGGTAGCATCAAAGCTGGCCGCCGTTCCTCCTACCTGCTGGCTATCACCACCGAACGCTCCAAGTCCTGTGATGACGGGCTGAACACCTTCAGGGACGAGGGCAGGCCTCTGCGGTGAGGCCTGGTCTAGATGCAGGGTGGGTGGGGCCACACCTGGCCGCCTAGGTCAGCTGCTATCTTGACTGGGCTTTGGCAGGAGTCCCGGCCCTGAAGTCCTTTGTCCCCTAGAGAACAGTGTGCTCTCTCCAAGGAAGTCCTCTTACCTTGGGGTTTGGGGGCTGGTAAGACAGTGAGGGGCCAACTGCCAGTGTCCCTCATCTTGGTCCTCACTCCCCAGGCGCCTGCCAAACCGTGTACCCAGCCTGCGCATGCTCCGAAGCTTCTTTACTGATGGGGTGAGTACCTGAGTGTGTGTGACAGAGCGTGAGGGGGGGTGGGATGACAGATCAGGATGGGAAATGGCTCAGATATGGAGCGCACCTGGCACAAGACTCCAGGTTTATGGCGGGAAGACCCCTGCTACTTAAGTGTCTCATCTCCTTTCTCCCTCCACCCACCCACCCTCTTCTCACCACATGGCTCCAGCCTCCCAGCCTTCTGTCATCCCTTGAAGACAGTGTAGGTCCACCCACCCAGGGCTTTGCACTTGCTGTTCCCTCTACAGAGAATGCCCCCTCCAGCCCTGCCCCCCCAACCACATGACTTGCTTTTCTCCTTAAAATAATAATGGTTTTTCTTGTTGAGAATATACACAGCAGACCACCCATTAATTCAACTGTTTTCTCATGCACACTTCATTGACTCTGGTTACATTCTTCGTTTTGCAACCCTCCTCAACCTCTTTCTCCAATTGTTCCTCCTGTTACTCTAAGCTCGCTGCTCCCCAGGGAACCATCTTGCCTTTGGAGCTGTTGTTGTCAGACCTTAACAGAGCACAACAGGCAGACATTTGTTCCTGATGAAGCTAAACTGTTGTTTGGTTTAAAGAAGAATTGAGGGGACCCTCTCCCTGTCTTCAGGATTTCAACTCAAAAGCTACCTTCAACCCACCCACTTCATGTCTCTTTGTCCCTTTCCCCACCCCCTTTAGCCCTTAAGTCTGTTATAGAATTATTAGATATCTATCTTATTTGTTGCTCATCTTCTTAGCTAGAATATAAGTGCCATGAGGACAGCAATTTTGTTTGCTGGAGTCCTGGTAGCACAGGGGTTACAGCTTTGTAATCCCTGGAGAATCAGCTGAATTGGTTCCAACTCAGTGGTAAGAAGAGAGAGAAAGCCTATTTCCTTAGTCCTTAACACTGTGCCTGGCACAGGAGACATTCAGTCCATCTTTGCAAGGTGTTATCAGGGGACAGTGGAGCCACTGAAAAATAGCTCATTGCCATCAAGTCAGAGCTCACTCACAGCTGACCTTCTAGCGGGGTTTTCAGAGGCTGTAAATCACACAGGAGGTGATTGCCTTTATTTCTCCTGCAGAGGTGCTGGTGGATTCTCCCTTTCAGAGAGGAACCACCACGGGGTTAGTGTCATAGCTCCCTGTCCACTGCCAGAGCGCCCTTGCAAAGGGAGCCACAGTTTTGTTTTGTTTTTTTATTTTATTATTATTAAATTTTATTAGTTTCAATGAAGGAGCCACAGTTTTGAGAGTTGAGGGAGTGGCTGAGATCTGAAGACCTGAGAAAAAGCTTTAACTCTTGATTTTGGATGGATTGGAAGTGCCATCCTAATTCAAAAGCCTTGATAACATCACTGATAACATCTTGAGGATGTTATCACCTGGCTTATGCCTTATCACTTCCTCTTAGCTCTCCCTTGATGTGTCACCTCTGTTGCTAGAGTCCTGTTGACACTATCACTTCCTCTGTTTAACTCCTTGTGGACATGACTACCTGAGCCATGAACTCCATCATTGTTGATGTTCCCACTTCCCCTGTTTATTTAACTCCTTGTTGACACAATCACTTCCTCTGTTTGCTTAATTCTTTGCAGTCTATAGAGTTAAGGGAAGACCCAGATTGGCTTTTCTGGTGTGATGGGGCATGTGGTCTGCTGGCTTTTTCTCCCTTCTAGCTTCTCCATTGCGTACATCTCATGACCTCAACACAAGGGGTACAGAGAGGGCAAGCAGGGCTCCTCAGGCCACACAGCACTTTGGTGTGTGGCATAGGCGTGTGCCAGGCTCACACGACTGTGTGGTCCATGGCGTTCCTGAGATACTGGCATTGTGGGACCCACCCTAAACTGCCCTCTCTTGTCTCACTGCAGTCCTTGGATAGCTGGGGCACCTCCGAAGATGCTGATGCCCCTTCTAAGAGACACTCAACCTCTGACCTCTCGGATGCACCTTTCAGTGATGTCAGGAGAGAAGGCTGGTTGTGTTATAAGCAGATCCTCACCAAGAAGGGGAAGGTAAGATGGTTGGAGAAATGAGCTGGGGATGGATGGAAACTGGCCCCCAGCAGAACTCTTCAGCTTCTCTTTCACCTGCTCCACAGTCTTTGTGTCAGAGGAAACCAGCTTAGACAGCAGCATGAGAGTGAAGAGGGTAGATGCCAGGATGAACTTCCTGAATGACTTAGCAAAGTCATAAGAAAGGTTAACAAGGAGAGGTAATCTTTGGTGTGAGTGAAGTAGATCCAGTTATGCTTGGGATTGTGACAAAAGGATCTCACAATGATCTCACCCTAAATGACCCCAGGGCTGCTGTAAAGTGAGAGTGAGGCCAGGGTGATGTTTTTAGGGGAGATGAGGCCTGAGAAGAAAGCAGAGGTCAGCTTCTTCAGGGCCTTGTAGGACCAGCAGAGGCTTCAGCCTTTTTCCTGAGGCAACTGAAAGCTCCTGGAAGCTCTTGGAGGGGAGCTCCGATGCTGTAGTTTGTGGGGAGTTGCACTAGTAACTCCAAAGCTGCGTGTCTCTGGCAGTTTGAATCCTCCAGTGGGTCCTCCGGAGAAAGATGAGCAATCTCCTCTCAGGCAATTTATAGCTTTAGACACCCGCTGGAAGGTCAGCTATGAGTCAGTTCCGATTCAACGGCAATGAGTTTTTTGAGTTTGGGGCTCTTACAAGAGTAGTATTAATTTTAAAAGACCATTTTGACTTCCTGGGGGCCAAACCCAAGGCAAGAAGACCAGATAGGAACTACCACAGAGATCCAGGTGAGAGATGAAAGGGGCGGGGACAAGGGGGGTGTGGATGGTGGTATTGGAGGGAAATAAGCAGAATCCCAGAGAGGAAGGGTAGGGCCCTGGGTCTGTGAGTTAGAACCTTGAGTCCTAGGCCAGGCCAGAGCCCAGGGCTGAGGCTGTCTGGGAGAAGGGGAGACAAGAAGCCATTGGCAGCTCCATCTTGTCCCTGCAGGAGTCCAGGCAGCTGGTTAGAATAGTGAGAATAAACCAAGTTAGAACAAACCTGGATTTGAGTCTGGGCTGCATCACATTTTGCTATGAGAGCGTGGGTGATACACTTATGACTCAGTTTCCTTGCCTGTAAAATGGAGCTAATAATAACCCCCAGCTCATAATCCTGTTGCCAAGAATTAAATGAGATGATCTAAGCAAAGGGCTTGCCCAGAGCCTGGCCCTTGGGAGCAGTTTACTATCATTACAGTATTTAAATTTTCCACTTCACATTCTGGGGGGCTTGTGAAAGAACACAAGATTTGAAGTTAGGCAGACCTTGAGTTTTTATCCAGCTACTTATCAGGCATGTGATTTTGGAAAATTCCTTAGTGTTCCTGAGATCCTCATTTGTCTTTTCTGTAAATGTCATTCTGCTCCAAGCTCTGTTGTGAGGACTGAGTGAGGTGTGCAGTCTAGCAGGACTTATTCTACAGATAATTTCTCAAGACCTGCTCTGCCTGGAAGAGCCCTGGTGGTGCATTGGTTTAGCACTCAGCTACTAACCAACAGATGTATCCAAACTCCCCAGCAGTTCCATAGAGTAAGTTGTGACGGTCTGCTTCTTAGGGGCAGTTCTACTCTGTCCTGCAGGGTTTCTAGGCATTGGACTCCATTCAAAGGCAACGGGTTTAGGTTTCTGGTTGAACTCTGCTTGGAATTGAAGTTCTGGGGACTTAGTGGGGAGGGAGCCAGGCCAGCCCTGCCTTCCTGGGTTTGCAACAGAAATAACTATGTTGTGTGCAGGGACCTGATATAACATCTGCAGGGTAGCAAGAGTTGAGAGGGGGTTTCCTAAGACTTGAGACCTGAGGACCTGTGAAGATCCACAGAACTGAGAGGGAAGGGAGCGAGAGAAGGGGCCTTGGCGAACGGCAGGAAGGGGCGTGATGGAGCCTAAGGTGACTGGAGTACAGAGGATGAGTGTGGTGGTACCTCCCTCCATGCCCAGGGGAAACCTTTTCAGGATCCTCAGTGGGTGATAGGGTGGTGTGACACCCAGAGACAAGCATTGCGTCTGTGACAGTTGGAGACAATGCCCAGGTGAGCAAGGGTGGGGCCTCGCCAGGGTGGTGGTGTTGGGGTCGAGAAGGGTGCGTTAGAGAGAGATTCACTGGAGGGATAGTAGGAGGTGAGCAGGATGGAGGAGGTGATGATGTTCCTGGGTGCCAGTCTTGGGCTGTAGAGGCAGGTAGTGATGAGACCATCCCTAAACCAGAGGGCACAGGAAGGGGAGCAGGTTGGGGAAAGGAAGTAAGAGGAGTGCCCCAGTGGAGGTGTCCTGGGGCTGAGGCTGGAGGGTAAAGCCCTCAATAGGGAGGCTGGCCCTTCAGTGTGCACCTGGGCATCTCTGCATGTGATGAGCCCACATGGAGCATGGGGTACAGGTGGGAGACTTGAGAAGTCCTGACTGGGTGGCAAAGAGAGAAAGTGGGCATGACCAGAGGTGAGGCTGAGGGAGACCTGAAAGGAGAGCCAGCAAGATGGACGTTAAACCAGGAGGGGGTGAGCCAGGCAGGGGGAGGAGGAGCAGCTGTGTGGTTGAGGTGAGCTGAGGAAGGACAGACCCTTTCAGTCTAGCTTTTGAGCCACTTAGAGGACACCTGTGTAGCTTATCGCCAGGTTTTGGGGGCCCCATCCAGCCTGCCTCAGAATTTCCTGGGCATGGAGAGAGCTGATTCCTTCTTGCTCACTGGTCAGTTCTGGAGGACAGGGACTTGCCCCTCCTGACCAAAACCTGACTCCACTTGCCTCCTCAGTGCCATGGCCTGGGGACAGGGAAGGTCCTCAATCAGCATCCGGCCTCTTTAGGGTCCTGCTGGCTAGCCAGAGGTTACCTGATTCTGCAGGGAAGACCTCACTTTTACCCCTCTCAGCCTGTGAACTATCAAGCAGAGAGTAATGGGAACTAACATGTCCCCACAGCCACAAGTCCAGCATTTGAGCCTGGAGACCAGCTAACTTACTGGCAAGGGGACACTGATGCCAAGGTTGGGGTTTGGCTTGTCCAGATCACCTAACTCATTCCATCTGAGGTGCCCTTAAATTCTCTCCCTGGAGAGACCCTTCTTCAACTTTCTCTCCTCTTTCTGGTCCAGCAGGTCCATGATAGTATGTGGAGCTCACTGCTGCAGTCAGCTAAGTAGTTCACTCTGCTGGCCTCCCCCTTCCTCATCGTCTGTCTGCTCTGAGGAGAGAGGCCTGTGCTTGGTGCTGAGTGGTGGGTGGGCAACCAATCAAAGGAAAGGACCTTGTTCTGAGGGGGATTATGCCGCCCCTGCCCTCTGGGATCTCGTGGGGTCAGTAATGGACGTATTCAGCAATTACTGATGAGCTTGTTTCCTGGGCCTGGGCAGTTCTAGGCTCTGGGATGGAGAAGGGAGTGAGAGGCCAGCATTCTGTCACCCAGGAGCTCCCACTTCACTGGGAGAAATCCACAGATAGGATAATCTGAGCGTGCAGTGCACACTCCAGGGAAAACAGCCTGGAGAATGCTACAGACTTTAAGGTGGAAGCAAAGGGAATTTGCCTGTAGAAAAATAGATCAGAGGAAGTATCACTGGGGAGGCGATGTGGGTGACCTGGGAATGTAGACCCAAAGGACGAGAAGGAGGCAGCAGCATAGAGAAGGGGCAGCAAGTGCAGAGGCCCGGGGAAAGCAAAGATATGACTGTCCGAGGAACTGGAGGAGGGCCCTGGGAGTGAACAGAGTGAGAAGGGAGTCAGACAACACAGGCCAGAAGGCCTTGGCCTTGATTCCAAGGTGATAGGAACCCTTACTAAGCAGGGAGAGAGACAAGGCTCAGCTTTATACTTTTAAATGACTCATGCAGCTACCATGTGGAGAATGGATGGCAGGAGGTGAGAGTGGAAGCTGGAAGGTTCTTTTTAGTTGTTGGCCAGAGGTGTTGATGGCATGGATAAGGGTTGGGAGCACAGAGAAGGTCAAATTTTAGAAGCAGAACATGGTGGCTTCCTGATGGACCAGGTGTCAGGGGTGAGGAAGAGGAATGAGTCAGGGCAACTCCCAGGTTTCTGGGCAATTGGGTAGACTTATTGAGCTGAAGGAGATGAGGGTGGGAGTGGAGAACAGGTTTGATGGGGAAAGTCATATGCCCTGCTGTCGGCACAGAGCACGTGAGGTGCCTGGGAAACATCAATGTGGAGATGCCAGGCAAATGGCTGGACAGTGGCTCTGAGAGATTGAGGGCAGAGATGTGTATCTGGGAATCCCTATCAGCAGAGGAACCAGAAGAACTCAGCGCATGGGCGATGTCCCTGAGGGAGGAGAGAAGGGACAGGAGGGCTCAGGATGGAGTTTTGGGGCTTACCCTCATAGAAGAGCATTTAACTTCAGCTCTGTTGACATTTTGGGTCCAGTAACTCTTTGCTCTGGGGACTGTCCCACGCATTATGGGGTGTTTAGTAGCAAACCTGGACTCTATCCATTACATCCCAGTAGCATCTCCCCAGTTGTAATAACTGAAAATGTCTCTAGGCAACATCAGATATCCCCTGGGGTTGACTTGGCCCGTTTGAGGACCACTAGACTGGAGGGTTGTAAAAGGAGCCAGGAACCAGGGGAGCCCAGGTGTTTAGAGAGGGTTTGGAGAGGGCAGGAGCCCAGGACAGCATCTGAAACTCCTGAGAGGCAGTTACAATGAAGATGAGCTGTGGCCACGGGTTTTGACCACAGTGGGGCAGTTTCTAGTGAAGGGGCACTGAGTGGAGTCTTAATAGAAAGCAGTGCAAGTGCTGTGCAGGGGAGTGTTATCTGGAAGAGGTATGTGCTTGAAATGGTTTTGTGTGAATTCTGAGGAGGGTCATGCAGTATAGGGCAGGTCAGAATTGCCTTCCTGGGCTGTCCCTGATGCCCCCATGTAAGGCAGGAGAAAGTTGGAGATTCTCTTGGGGAGTTAAGAGTGATGGCAGTGGGAGGGGTCTGACCACTGCTGGCCACTATTTGCTGCTTCTAGAGCTGCTCTTGGCCTGACCTCTCACCTGCTTCCCTCTGGTCTCTCTTCCCCACCCTGTGTGTCTCTCTTTGCAGAAAGCGGGCAGCGGCCTGCGCCAGTGGAAGCGGGTGTACGCCGCACTGCGGGTGCGCTCGCTCTCGCTGAGCAAGGAGCGGCGGGAGCCCGGGCCGGCGGTGGGGGCTGCGGCGGCCGGCGCAGGTGAGGACGAGGCGGCGCCCGTCTGCATCGGCTCCTGCTTGGTGGACATCTCCTACAGCGAGACCAAGAGGAGGCACGTGTTCCGGCTGACCACCGCTGACTTCTGTGAATATCTCTTTCAGGCTGAGGACCGGGATGACATGCTGGGCTGGATCAGAGCGATCCGGGAGAACAGCAGGGCCGAGGGCGAGGTGAGGGCCAAGGCCAGCCCCAGCTGGGCCGGTGGGGTGGGCAAGCAAGGCCACCTCACCAGCTGTGGGACCCTACTTGAGCCCTCTGAGCCTCATTTTCCGCTTCTGTAAGATGGGCTACCAGAGTCCACCTTGAAGCTCTAGCTTCCTCGGTTTTCTGGCATCTTTGCTGTTCAGTAACTGGCAGTAACAGTAATAATGGTAATAATAATAATAATAATTATTATTGTTACTACTGCCTTGGGCAGGCCCTGGCACAGAGAGGTCAGCCCCAGGCCGGTCTCAACTTCTCACAAGAAGCGAGGGAGGCAAGTCTCCTCTGAGGATGATTTAGAGAATGTGGTGCTCCTGCTTCAGAGCTGAGCATGGCCCTCGACAGGGCTGATTCGTCTGCAGAGGGATGAACAAATTGACCTTGGGAGGAGGCCAAGAGGCTTGGCCTTTGGCAGCAGGCGAGCAGGGGTTGAGCCAAGGACTTTGGCAGGGATTTTGGAAGAATTAAATAATGGTGCCCTGTCCTCTGGGCAGCCACAGCTCCACACTAGGGTGCAGGTGTGGCTTGGGGCCCAGGCTGCGTGTCTGTACAAAGTTGTGCAGGGGTCCTGGGTTTGGGGGTTGGTCTCTGCCAAGAGCATTGTGGGTGTGTGGGCCCTGGTCCAAGTGACCACGTGCTCTGGCCATGGGGTGAGGCAGTGCTAGTACACCCTTTTGGAACACAGACCCTCTTCCTTCTTCACAGGAAAGAGGAAAGTACCTGAAACCTAGGATCCCTGTCGGAGGCCTCGCTGGGCTTCTCCCCATCGTGCATGTCAGGGTTCCAAGCCTCCTTCACTGTCGGACAACTATGCCTTACTGGGCACCTCCCTGTGTCTGATAGGACTGTGTTACATGTGTGATTCTGTACCCAGCTCAGAGGTTGCCATATTATTACCCCATGTTACTACTGAGGAGACAGGCTCAGAGAGGCTTAGTTAATTACCTGAGGTCACACAGCTGGTGAGGCAGGGCCAGGACTCAAGCCCTACTCTCTCTCCCACATCTGTGCCTTCTACATGGCAGATGGAGGAGAGGGCAGACAAGGCTGAGGCCAGGCCGGGGACGAGCATGGGGCAGCTGGACATGGGCACTGACGTGGTCTTTTCTCTTCTGCCCTAGGACCCCGGCTGTGCCAACCAAGCTCTGATCAGCAAGAAGCTTAATGATTACCGAAAAGTGAGGTGAGGCCCAGCCCCAGCCAGTGACATGTGGGGACTTCTCCTGGGTAGGGCTCCTCATAGCATGTTCCCATGAGATGGGGCTCTTCTAGGTAGAAGAAGCTGTACTGGTTCATCTCCAGGCCTGAGGGCAGCCTCCCAAGGCCCCCTCTTCAGGGAAGGGGAGGATGGGGAAGGTGCAGGAATATTGAGGGGCTCCAGAGCAGATCAGCACACCCCCACCTTGGGTGGAGGGAAAGGTGTAAAAGTGGCAGAGGGCCAAGGTGGTACCTGTTGAATAACTCCAGATGAAGACCCTTTTCTCCCTCTGTTTTCTGTGCAGCCATAGCTCTGGGCCCAAAGCCGATTCTTCTCCCAAAGGCTCTCGTGGCCTGGGGGGGCTCAAGTCTGAGTTTCTCAAGTCCGAATTCCTCAAGTCTGAGTTTCTCAAGTCTGAATTCCTCAAGCAGAGTACAGCTCGCGGCCTCAGAACTCAGGACCCGCCCGCAGGGAGCAAGGGTACGAAGGGGGCTTCTGAGTGGGCATGAGGTGTGAGCATGTGTATGTAGTGCTCAACCTGTGGGTCTTTAAAGGGGGTGTGTGTGTGTGTGTGTGTGTATGTGTGTGTGTGTGTGTGTACACTTGTTTGTGCCTGCTGGTATGTCAGGCATATTCTATTATGTGTGTACATGCTTGTGTGAGTCTGCCTCTGAGTCTGATTCTCCTCCACTCTGTTCATGCACCTTCAGGGATGGAAGGCTTATCCTTTTTTGGAGGTAGCCTCTTCCATCACATATGTTTGACCATTAGAAAGTCTTTTCTTTGGCTATATTACCATCTATAGAACTCTTACTGCCTGGTCCTGGTTTTAGTTCCTGAGGCCACAGAAAGGACCTTCTACTACTCTGAGACCTCTCTCCAAGATAAACAGCCTTGTGCTTTTGATCTTCTCTCTTGGATATAATTTCCCACCAGCCCTGAACACTGTAGTTACTTCTCTGATGGAGTGCCCATGTGCCCATGTGTGTGGATATGGCATGTGAGTGTGTGACCATGTGCTATTGCTGTCACTGCCTCCATTCCCCCCCAGCTCACCTCTGTGCTTCCCCCATCCCAGATGACACAACTGCAACTCCCAAAGCCCCGTGGGGCATCAACATCATCAAAAAGAACAAGAAGGCAGCCCCAAGGGCATTTGGGGTACGATTAGAAGAATGCCAACCAGCCACAGAAAACCAGGTGAGTTCTGCCAGACTCCAGAGCAAGTGGGGCAGGTGAGGAGACAGAGGCACCAAGTTACACAGGACTTGGGAACTAGGCCCCACTGTACATGACAGCACGGCTGGGGAAGCAGCCCAGAGAATAAAAGCCCCACCCCCATCTCCCAAGGGGCCAAGCAGCAGCGCTGGGTCAGAGCCCAGAGTCCCCGCCCCAGGAGAATCCACTCTCGTTGGCCATGATGAGGCCTTGGACTAGAGGCAGCAAGGGTCCCTGGTCACTTGCCCAGGGTTCCTGGTGACAGCTCTCGACCAGACACTGCCCTCACTGTGGCATCCTCACCTCTGGGCCCCTATTTCAACCCCCCCAACACTCACCTTGCCTGTGTCTCCAGCGTGTCCCCCTGATTGTGGCTGCATGCTGTCGCATCGTGGAGGCCCGGGGGCTAGAGTCCACGGGTATTTACCGAGTGCCCGGCAACAATGCTGTGGTTTCCAGCCTGCAGGAGCAGCTCAACCGTGGGCCCAGTGACATCAACCTGCAGGACGAGGTGGGTGTACAGCTAGGGGTCTGCAGGAGGTAGACCAAAACAGTGAGGGGTGCTCTGCTGAGGTGACCTCATAGTGTGCTGTGCCACTGTTGTGGAGCCTGCAGTGTGCCCAGCGCAGGGCCAGGTCATCAGGATAGATGGGAAAGGACTTGGGGTGGGCATCACCCCGAGGGTGAAACCTGATGAGTAAGTGTGGTCATGACCTGGGAGCTATGGGGCTGCGGAGCAGAAGTGGTTGGAGACCCATATGTTAAGGAGGTGGTGTCCTGAATGCTCCTTTAGATTGAGTAATCAGCCGAAACCAATCCAGCTGAGTCAGTTCTGAGTCACTGCAACCACAGTTGTGCAGGGTCGACCAGCACCACACAGAGAGTTCAAGGCTGTGCTATTCTGGAAGGAGATCACATGACCTTCCTGCCAGGATGCCTTTTGGGGTCAGACAGCCAGTCTTTCAGTTAGTAGCCTGTATGCAAAAGAAACCTTTAGAATGTGTGTTGTGTGTTATTGTTGTACGCTTTTGTGTAGAAACTGATTCATAGCAAGTTTTCAGAGGCTGTACATAGCACAGGAGGACACTGCCCATCTTTCTCAGAGCAGCTGGTGGATTCAAACCATTTGCCTTTGGGTTGGCAGCAAAACTCCTTACCCACTAGGCCAATTCACCGAAAGCCAATAAAAGTCTGCTAGGCAGAGAGGGTCACATGGACAGTGGTGTAGATTCAGGTTTGTTAAGGGGATGGCAAGCTTTCTCTGTAGAGGGTCAGACAGTAAATATTTTGGCTGTTGGGGCTTTGGAGTCTCCATTAGTTCTGCACCTCCTGCTGCTACACCATTGACTTCCTTTTCCTCAAAATCCTCTTCTCCCTCCTTTCCCCCCCTTCCCTCACCTTCTTGTTTCCTTTTTCTTCTTTTAAAAATGTAAAAACCATTCCTAGCAAGAAAGCTTTCAGGAACTTGCCCATGGTTGTGGACCCCCCATCTTAAAGACAGAGTGGAGCACACGATGTTTACTGGTGCTTTAAGCAGCTCTGGCCACAGCTGATCTAATGAGCTGGGGGGGCGGGGGGCAGTAACCACATTCAAGAGTTCACAGCAGGGCCGGTGATTCTTGTTGTTGTTGTTGTGTACCATCAAACCAGATCCGACTGGCACAGAATGAGATTGTCCCTCCTTCTCCAGCAGAGCATCTGGTGGATTCAAACCACACGCCTTTGGTATTACAGTAACAGTGCAGCTTCTTGCCAGTAGGCCAACAGAGCTCTCTTGCCCGTGATTCTTACACTGTGTTCTCTGGGGTCCCCCAGGAGGTCTGGGGGAGGCCAGGACTCTCATCTGTCTGAACCGGAGCAGCCAGTCACTGGTTAGCCTGCCACATTGGGTTTTCCTGTGCAAATTAATTTGACATAAAAGGTTCTGCTGCAAGGGGAGCTCTGGTGGCCTAGTGGCAAGAAGCTGTACTGCAATCCCAGAGGTACATGGGTCAAATCCACCAGATAGATGCTCTGCTGGAGAAGGAGGGACAATTTCCTCCTGTACCAGTCAGATCTGATTTGATGGTACATGCACTAATAATAATAATAATAATAATAATAATAATAATAATAATAATAATAATAAGGTTCTGCTGCAAACATTTTGGGGAGGGGCAAAAACCATGCATCTGGTCCTTGAAGTTCCGTGAGTCAAACACTGTGAAGTCTTATATGCTACCTAAGAAAAGACCCCTGCCCCTTGGGAAGATGAGAGATGTAACAAATACACTTGAACTTGCCAAAGCGGAAAGGAGGAGAGTTTTTCACCTAGGACTGAATCATGGCTGAGGAAGACGACGCTGAGGGCAAGAGCCTTTGAGGGATCATTAGGAATGGTCAGCCAGGAAGGCAGGCAGGCTAGCATTTAGAGAAAGATTTGAGAGCTGGGACCCATCTTCTGGACTTGGAGGTAGGGGATACAGCAGGGACAGAGGGCGTCTGATACCTACCTACACTGAAGCCTTTGACCTTGATCTAGTGAGCAGTAGGGAGCCTTCAGCAGTTCTTAAGCAGAGGCATAAATGAGAGTGGAGTTTGAGAAGAGTATTGTTTCAACTTGTACCTGATGAATATGCATGAGGGAGGCAGAGTGGAGGGTTTAAGTAAGAAATTACTGAAATATTGGAAACACTAAAGATAGGAAAGACTCGACTGGGAGAATGGCGGATGGGAACAGCTGCTATATGTTGACTGCATGAGAGGAGGAAGGAGGAACAAAGAAAAGCCAAAAATTCGAGCTGGAGGCTGGTAGTGTCTCTTCCTGGCAGAAAGTGGGGCCAGGGCTGCTTCAGAATTAGAATTGCAGAGAAGTGTGCTAGGTAGTGGCCCCATCGGATTTGGAGTGATGATTAGTCACCCACATGGAGGTGATGACCATGATCTGGCCTGTTGCAGGGGTCATGCTGAGGCACCAAAGTGAAATTATTGGGGGACCTGCCATTAGGGGGAGAGTGGGCAGTGGGAGAGCACGGGCCAGGCTCTGAAGCAGGATGGGAGAGGTATTCAGATAAAGCTAGGGCACTTGCATGTTGATGGAGTCAGGAAAGATAAAGCAAGGTTTTAGGGTGGCGGCTGGAAGAAAAGGGCCCACACATCAGGACCAGAAAGTAATGAGGTACAGGAGCTGCAGTGGGTGGAATGTAGGTATGCAGGGAAGCACATGAACTTGGCCGTAGCCAAAGAAGAGGGACTAGAGCTGGGGGGCAGCTGACCCGAGTCAGGGACCAGAGTGGAGGCGAGCAGGTGTATTGGGCGTGTTGTTTTGCCTTAGATCACTCTTTGTTGTGGGGAGTGCTGGAGGTAAGTGTTGGGTAGTGGGTGAATCCAGCTGTCCTGTTGAGCCTGTGGGGAGTGTATTGTTGTTTGTAAAATTGTCTGGCATGAAGTTGTAGATTCATTTTAATAAGTATGCATGCGCTTGAGTTGTGCCTCTTTGCTGTGGGAGTAATGTTGCTTTCTGGGCTTGGATTGTTCTGAGCCAGTTCTGACTTAAGTATTATCACGGACTTGGCTGCATTAGCTAGAGTGACAGCGCCCCCTGCTGGCCAAAAGGAACAATGGCCCACAGTTTTTTTGGGTTTCTTTATCTGTAAGTTATCTTTTAGTATAAATATATTTTATTGACCATTAACTTTGTGGTCATCGTTTAAGAAATCCTGTAATATCCTAAAATATGGAATATGATTCAAGATAAGCAGTATACTCACAATTTTTTTAAAAAAACCTTTTTTTGAAAAAACTGTTCAAGTTGAGAACTGTTTTTGATTTAGACTAGCTAAGATTGGAAATTAAAAGGCACATTGCCATGGGAAAGTCTGCTGTTAGGGACCTCTCCAAAGTGCTGAAGAGCAATGGTGTCCCTCTGGAGACTAAGGTGCGTCTGATACAGGCCATGGTCTTCACAATCACCTGTTATACATCAGAGAGTTGGACAATAACCAAGGAGGATAGAAGGAGAATTGATGCCTTTGAGCTGTGGTGCTGGAGAAGAGTATTGAGAATACCATGGACTGCTAGGAAAACAAACAGATTTGTCCTGGAAAGGGTTAATCCGGGTGGCTCCTTGGAGGCAAGGATTCTGAGGCTCTGTCTAACTTACTTTGGACATGTTGTGAGGAGAGACCGGTCCTTAGAGAGGGACATCATGCTTGGGAGGGTGGAGGGACGGCGCAGGAGAGGAAGGCCCTCTATGAGGTGGATTGATTCAGTGACTGGGATAATTGGGATGGGAGTGTCAGAGACAGTGCGATTGGCACAGGACAGAGCGGAGTTTAGGGCTGTTGTACATAGGGTCGCTATGAGTCGCAGGTGACTCGACGGCACATAACAACAACAACGACAAGATTGGAGGCTAATATTGAGAATAATGGACACCTCACAACACTTGATTGTGCTCATGTGAAACCTAGACCTAGACCAAGGAGGTGTTGTCCAAACAGAGCAAGGGAACTCTGCATGGTTCCAAATACAGAAGGAATGCATCAGAGATGTAACTTTTTTCTATACCTTTTTAATCAATATGCTGAACACATCATTTGAGAGGTTGGGCTTTATGAAGAAGAATGTGGCATCAGGACTGGAAGAAAACTCATCAACAACCTGTATTACGTAGATGACATAATCTTGCTTGTTGAAAGCAAGGAAGACCTGAGGCACTTTCTACTGAGATCAAGGACTACAACCTTCAATATAGATTATATCTCAACATCAAGGAAACAGAAATCCTCTCCTCTGGGCAGTAGACAACATTGTGATAGATGATTGAAATAGTTAATTATTTAATCTTGCTTAGATCCACAATCAATACCCTTGGTACTAGCAGTCCAGAGGTCAGGAGATGTGTAACATTATTAGGATAGCCTGCTGTCAGGGACCTCTCCAAAGTCCTGAAGACTAACAATGACAGTTTGAAGACTAAGGTGTGCCTGATTCAATCCATGGTTTTTCCAGTCACCTGCTATGCATCTGAGAGCTGGGTAATGAATAAGGACGACAGAAGAATAGATGCCTTTGAGTTGTGATGTAGTGACAGACTAACCCATGGACTGTCAAGAGAACAAACATATGTTTTGGAGAAAGTCCAGCAGAGTACTCTTTGGAGGCAATAGGGCAAATCTTCGTCTCACATAGTTTGGGTGTGGTGTTAGGAGTGGCTATTCCTTGAAGAGGAACATCATACTTGGAAAGGTGGAGGGTCAGTGGAAGAGATGGATTGACATAGTGACTGAGGCATGGGCTTCAGTATGTCAGGGCTGATAAGAACAACCACAACAATGATAAGGTCAACCAGCTGCTCCATGGGAGAAAGATCTTGTGCATTTTACTGCCTCTGAAAACCCGCTGGAGAGTCAGTTCCAACTTGATGGTAAGTAAGAGTGAGGAAATACAACCAGGGTGCTTCTTAGAGGCAAGGACGGTGAAACTTCACCTCACATACGATGGGCATGTTGTCAGGGTCAGCCTTTGGAAAACGATATCATGCTGGGAAAGGTCAGCAAAAGAGAGGAACCCTCAGTAAGATTAACTGACCCGCTGGCTTTAACACTGGGATTTCCCATATCACAGATGATGAAGATGGCTTCAGACCTGTTGTCCATGGGATTGCTGTGAGTCATAGTCAACACAATGTCAGAGTGACTGCAAATCAGTCATTGTCAACTCGGACTGACAGCGTGACTGTATCTCAATGAGCTCGAGTGTGGTGAAGATTGTGAGGATGGCGCAGGATTGGGTGGGTTCAGCTCTACTGTTCACAGGTCGCTAAGAGTCTTAATTGACTCGATGGCACCTAACAACCACAGCAAGCACTAGGCTAGGAAACTCAAGGGGGGCATTGTCCATAGGGAGTTGTGCTGCTAAGCCAAAGGCAGTCCCTCTCTGGCAGTTCAAATCCACTGTCAGCTACTCGGAGGTGGGAGCAGTTTACAGACTCGGAAATCAACTACAAACAGGGTCAGCTGTACGTCAGTTCCGACTCGAGGGCCGTGAGCTTTGAGGAGCGCCAGACCAGGAGCTCCGCGGTGTAGTCCATAGCATGTTGCATTGTTAACTGAAGACTCTGTGTGTCCATTAAAGCAAATGCATCCTGGGCTCTGTGGGAGGAAGATGGACGGTCTCCTCTCATTAAGATTTCCATCTTGGAAACCCAATAGAGAGTCACTGTGAGTTGGAATCAGCTTGATGGCAGTGACTGAGTGAGTGAATTGTCCATCTGACTGTGCTGGGAACGTAGTGGAGAGTGCGACAGAGGTGGCCCTTGTGGACCTTACTGTTGGCATGAAGCCGAACAGGAAAAGTTAGGCACAAAATAGTGATAGGTGAGCCATGAGAAACACTGCATCACAGGCAGTGGTGGTGGCGACTGCTTTAGCTGTGACAGTCAGGGAGGGCTGCCCCCAGAAGAGGTGATGTTTAAGCAGAATGAAGAGTAAGCTGTGTGATGAGCAGGGTGAAGAGAGTTCTAATTGAGGAATGGCAAGTGCAAAGGCCTTGAGGCAGAAAGAGTCAGGCATGAATGAATCCTAAGTTAGGCATATTTAGACAGTTTATTGAATGGGGATCACTGGGAGTCAAGCCTTGCACGTTAGGTCCAATGAAGGGACAGAGAATGAGCAGACACACTCTTGCAGGAGCAGCTCTTGTTCCTGTCTGTCCTCACGGTGCCTGGCCCAGAGAGGGTACCTGGTACTTTCTGTAGATGGGGAACTGTTGGAGCTCCCATGATCTGGCTGGAGCAGGGAAAGCCTGGACCTAATTGTGATTCTGTTTTGCTGTCACCATCTCTGGAGTGAATGGACCTTGAAACAAGTGGATCACGGGGAGGGGCTGGGCTGAATTTTTCTTTAGGCCTGGCCAGCACTGAGGTATGAGTGCTTGGGCCTGGAGACATAGGGTTTGGGCACCTGGTGTGAGTATGGGTCCAGCTGTGGCCTGACACTTTTGTCCTCTCCCTAGCGCTGGCAAGACCTCAACGTGATCAGCAGCCTGCTCAAGTCCTTTTTCCGAAAACTGCCTGAGCCTCTGTTTACGGATGGTGAGTAGGAAGTGGAGGATATTGCAGGGTGGGGGGTGCTGTCTATGCTTCAACTGACTGCTTTTGCTTTTAAATATTAAAGAAAGCATGTTGCACAGATCTTGGTCATTCCCTTTCTCCAGAGCTTATAGCTCCCACTTTCTGAACACTTACTGGGTGCCAGGAGCCACTCCGTACAATAACGCCATGAGGCAGGTACTATTATTTCTACAGGAAACTGAAGCACTTGCCCCAGGTCACAGGTTTTAAGTGATTCCACCCCAGCCATCTGGCTACAGAGACCAGTTCTTGACCTTTTGCTGAGGTGCTTCGTGTCCCCCCACCCCCAGGCTTCTTGTATGCATAACAAAGACATAAGAGCAGACAGTTGCTTGAGTTCAGTGGTGTGCTGGTAAATGCCTATCACCTGGCTTTCCAGCAGGGGAAGAAGCCCTGATTTGTAGCATCTGGCAATCTCTATGGTATAAATATGCTCACTCTAGCTTATTTCAAGCTACAGATATGTTGTAACAGCTGGGAGTCCGTGTGACGGGCTCTAGCCCAGCATTGGATGGATTGGATTGCTCTGGAAAAAAAAGAAAACTCAATTGTTATCCTCTATATACATAGCATACATAGATCCCATAGCAACCCAGTAGGACAGAGCAGAACTGCCCCCTAGGTTTCTCAGGCTGTAAATCTTTACTAGACTATTACATCTTTCTCCTGTGGGGCTGCTGTTGAGTTTAAACCACCAACTTTTTGGCGAGCAGCTGAGTGTTTAACTACTGCACCACCTTGTTTGCAAAAACAGATCCATACTTTGAGATTCGTTCATGTCAGTACAGAGAGTTCCATTTCATTCTTCTCATAAACCAATCACATAGTCTTTCACTGTCTAGGTAGACGGGTGTCTTTAATAACTTCTCTTCTGGTGGATATTTAAATTGTCTTCAGTTTTGCTATTGCAAAATATGCTGTAATCACTTTCCTGAGGATGTCTTTGCACGCTTGGGTGCATATTCTTTAAGTACATTCTTAGATGGAGCACTGGTAGGTCAGAGTCTGGTGAACATTTTTAAAAGCTGATGTCAAATTGTGCTCTGAGAAGGAGGCTGTAATTTACACTCCCACTAACAGCAGAAGCTGGAATTTGCTTCTCCGGATCACTATCGACATTCCTCCCACTGCCATCATGTTGGTTTTAAACCCTCCGTTGGATTTTTGAAGGTTTATATCCTTACAGGAGGCAACTGGCCATCATTCTCCTGCAGAGAAGCTTATGGATTAGAACCAATGTCCTTTGATTAGAAATCTTAGGAGTTCTGGTGGTTTAGTGGTAAGAAGCTGGTCTGCAATCTCAAAGGCACATGATTCGAATCCACCAGCTGCTTCGTGGGAAAAAGATGGACTATCTCTTATGTGGTTTACCTATGGGAGGGTCAGCTATGGGTTGATTCCAACTCGACAGCACACAGCAACAGTGACAAATGTAATGCATTAAGCTACCTGGCTCCTTCCATCAACGTTATATGCTATAAATATATTTTTATGTGTGTGAGAATAATTCATACTTATAATTAGCCAGCTGCACTCAGTTTATATGATCCAAATATTGTAGGCAACATCCAAAGCATTATAGTCAGGAGCAAGTCGAATGTAGACCTTCTTCTCTCCATCCGGCCTGATCAAGGTGTTGACTTTGACCATGTCAGTTTCATAGAGCTTCTCCAATTTGTTTGATCTGATGCTTGTTGGCCTTGACATCCAGAATGAACATAAGTGGATTATTATCTTCCATCTTCATGGCTGACTCAATGGTCAGGGGAAACGGATGATGGCAGAGTGGTCAAGTTGGTTTCTCCTGGGGGTGCTCTTCCAGGTGGTGTTTGGGCTGCCTTCAGAGTCTCAGCATCTTAGACTGCCAGAAGGTGGGTGACGTGCGGGTCTGGTTTTTGTGTGTCTGAGGATGCCCTGCAGGACTGCCCTCTTGGTCTTCAGCACTCTTGCTTTGGCTTCAGTTTAGGGAGGGGCAGGGACTTAGTTCTTCACTTTTAGTGCCATCCTCATAAAAAGATGATGCTGTTAATATTTTAAACTTTTGCTGTTTTGATGGAGAAATGGGCCTCATTATTTTAATTTTCCTCATTACTAGGAAGATTACATGTTTATTAGTTAATTAACCTTTTATATTTCCTCTGCTTTTCCTGTTCCTACTGTTTTTTACGTAATTGCTTGTGTTGATTTTTAGGGAAAAGCTTTTGTACAGTCCAAGTATTCATTCTGTGTTAGTTTTTGCATATATTTGCATTCAGTCTGCCATTTGCCTTTTAACTTTTCAGTATAGAAGTTATAAATCAGTTTTCAAATGGCCCCATCCTTAGTATTGAGTCAGACAGAACAGACGGACTCCTAGCTGAACAGGCTCCTAGCTGACCTACTAGTGGGCTTTCAGGCTATAAATCACACAGGAGAGGACTGCCCAACCGACAGAGGGGCAGCATCTTTAAGTTAGCACAACGCTCTGTAGACCACACGACCCTGGCTATTCAAATACAGTCAAACCGGTTAAGTTTTCCTTCCTGCGTTCACCTTTTCCTGTTTGGTAACGCTGGTGGCATTGTCTGTAATGAGCTGAGCTGCTAACCCGAAGTCTGTGCATTTCCAGCAGTTCAAATCCACCAGATGCTCTGAGGCGAAAGGATGAGCAGTCTCCGCCCATCCCCATGTACAGCCTTGGAAGCCAGCGGGGGACTCTGAGCCACAACCAGCCCACCCAGGGGCAGCGAGAGTTTTGAAGCATCTCATGTTTTTTGTTTTTTTTTTTAAATTTTTATTTTATTATTTTTGTGTGAGTGTACCGTCAAATCAGATCTGACTG